TTTAAATGAAACAGTTCCTCATGAACATCCCCTTATGGGCACACAGGCCGTTGTACGCACATCACGGGCAAACCCCTTCCATCCTCCCCCCCCCACAAAGAGGCATCAAACAGCTATAGTACGTGTACAAACATGGTGTCTTCCCATAGCAAAGTGTGCCATAAGTGTCATTTACCAAAAATAAAGTTGTCAGTTGGTACCGGCACAGTAATCAAACTACTGGTTTACTAATGAAAATCGGCTTTATTTTTGGTAGACACACTCTGCTATAAGAGGGTGTCATGTTTGTTGATGTTGGATGCCCACTATAGGTCACATGACTTAGTGGACACAATGGGTCTGGTTGTTGTTTTTTTTTATATTGTGCCTTTGGAATACAGTTCATGAATTGCCGCTGTTTATGATATATAATTAATGAATATTTTAAGAGTGAGTGTACATTAAATGTAAATGAGGAGTTTTATATTCAGGGCCAGTTATTCAAGTGTGCTTAAAGTGTCCAGGGGATGAATATGTTTTAGACTTGATATCGTTTTGTGCAACTTTCTACTCTTCATTGTATGAGAACAGTTTGATATCTTTGGGGGTCAATAGTTCCATGGTCAGTTGCGTATGGGATATGCACGGTAGCCGTCTTCCTGGTCAGTGTTCTTTTTCCATGGGGATACAGATGTGTAGGCCTTTTGTGCACACCCCCCATAACAAAAGCACTGACTGGGAAGATAGCTGCTGTGCCTAACCTCTATTGGAAAGTGCACTTGCTTAAACAGACACATAAAAAATTATCCCTATTTTTCCAGACAACAGAGGGCACTGTTGTGATATCAGTGATTGAAGACACTGCTTATTTCATAATGTTGCTTATGAAAAATGTTTCTGAAAAAAGGTTGATGATTGGGTTTTTGCCATGTACCTATTCAGCACAAAAGCCAAACATTGACAAAAGAGCACCAAATACTGCAGCCATTTCTTTGTGCACAAACTGATGCAATGTTGGGGTTTTCTCCCCGAATGAGAGCACTGTTTTGCTTACAAATTTCATAATTGGCAAAGCCCCCAAAAGGAACCACACTACCTTTGAGAATAGCAAAACAAAACATGAGATGGTACTACAAAATACTACACACTTTTTGTTAGCTGAAGTACTGTATGCGAAAAAGTACTAGGAGCACCATACTCAAGCTGACTAGAGCATGGGATATTACAATTTATTACAAGTAGTAAATTGTATTTTGTTGCTGTACTCGTACGTGAAGCCAGGGTTTAAGACATTGGCCCTTTGTTGAAAGGAGAATGCATCTTATTCATGCTAAGCACATACATGTACACTACTCTCCTGGCATGCCTGGTAAAATAATGTGAAATTCGTTTACCTTGTGGCTTGTTTTTGTGTGCCATGTCAATTTAGAATATCTTTCTGATACTATCTTCAATGAATCTTTGTTAGAATAAATACATTACTAAAAAAAAGTTAAGGACCACTTTTTTCTTAACTTGTATTTTTTTTCCAAGCAATGAGTGGGGTCTGGTTCTTTCATGTTTTGTTTGTCTATATGGTGCTCTGATTGGAATGAAAAATTTAAAAAAATGTTTCAAAACATCAAATGCACATTTTCCGTAAATCAAAAAAAGTATACACACAAAAAAGTGCTCCTTAACTTTTTTAAGTAGTGTAGCTTGAATTTAGGGGGGCCACTAATCTTCATGATTTGAGCTGGGATACAAACCTCGTTTCTGTTTTATTCCACCATCTCAAAATACTGCAAATGCAGAAGGCTACTGGCATGCAATAATGCTGGCTGTACGTGTATGTTCATGCAAGGAATTTAAGCAAGTGCTGACAATGAAAGATCACGTTTCCACTGTGGTTTACATGTTAATGGTAAAAAGAGATTGCTGTAGTGTATAAAAAGACTCACTGGTCTAAAAACAGTCAGTTTGAACTAAAATTCAGACAACAAAGATGTTTATATGACAAGTGTATAGTGTATGTACACGTAGACACATACGGAGTATTATACTATCTCAAATTGTGACAAGTTCAATTATTGTCACAAATTGTGACTCTAAATTCAAACTCATTTTAGATCTGCAGCTGACAAATTAGTGATGTTGTAGCAAGTTCTGTTTAGGTCAGTTCTTCTACATGTGTTAGTATGTCTTGACTGTACATAAACCAAGGGAGGATCCAGAACCAAATTTGAATTTTAAAAAGGGTAGGGGAGCCAAAAGTTTTGAACACGGCCCCCAAATTCAGGATCTCTATACAGGCTTTCTTGGGTGTGAGGTTACATTGGGTGACTTTTACACGTACATGTTCATGTATTTGCACCAGGAAGGTGAATGAATTGATTCCAAAAGTCATCTATATTAAGTTAAAAAATGAAACAATTGACCTAGAGGGATATCGATGGCCCCATTTGCCTCCACCCTTCGGCCAGTGACATTAATCTTAGTCAAAATGAGTGGTCATAGAAGAAATAGGAGAGTATCAAAGGTGGATCTGGGAGGGGGGCCAATGGTGGCTGTGGCTCACCTTCAAAAAGAACCACAAACATAAAACAAAATATGAAAGGCTCTACGTTTGGCCTTCCCTTCTAGAATTGTGTAAAAAACACTAACATGTAACCCAACCCCATAGAAAGGCCCTGGAAGTCCAAAAAGAAGTTCCAACCCCCCCCCAAGAAAATGGGTACTGGATCCACCCTTGGATGGTATTAATGGCATAATCGTTGACTGTTTTTTGTAACACCTGTTAAAATGTTGTCAGAAGTTCTTTAAGAGAAAACAAGTGGTAAAGACGAAAAAGGGTGGTACATGTACAGATGAGGGGGGGGGCATGGTTACATGGAAAATCTTTGTTAAGACTATCTCATGAACAGCAGTGTTGTTGAGACCATCATAAGACCTGCCGCAAGACCTGCCACAAGACTTGCAACAAGACTTTTCACTGGTAACAAGCCCCCCAAAATGACACAGGAATGCTGTTGCAGTTCATTTGGGCAGCTTGTGACTTGAATTCAGACTGGAGGTCTTGTGTGAGTGTTGTACAATACTGTGATGGTGTGTAAGAGGTCTCAACTGCAGTGCTGATGAAACAGCACACTGTGCAGGTACCTGCATGTACCTGTAGCTGGCCTTAATCATGTATTGCTTCCATGCCCCCACCCCTAAATCCTGAAATTACTGAAGGTACATGTACATGTAGGAGCCATCATGTGTTTTGTGCTTGATCTTCTGAGTTGGGTTAATCAGCAGTTCATGGCACCAGAAAAAGATCATCGGCGATACATGGGGCGAGTACTCCTAAAATACAAGTACCTTGGCACTGCCAAACAATGTTTGGATTCTAAATCATTGGTCAGACTGTAAGGTACACAAAGTACATGTAGGTACCGGAAATACAACCTCTTGGTGCTGTGGAGCCAGTGACATTGGGAGGGTCTCCATGTTCATGTAGGGTCATGATTATGTAAAGGTTGAAGTTTCTTTGGAACAATTCTTGTGCAGCTTTAGTGTCAGGATGCTCCAGCAAACGTAAGTCCTGTACTTCTGTTACTTTTGGTGGGGTTATGATTTAATCATGCATGAATGTATTTCAAGGTGTCATATTGGACTCAGTAGAAAGAGTTTTGTTTGAATGTTTGCATATGAATGTTTGACAATCCTTTTTTTCAAATCGATGTTAACTCAGGATATCTGTGCTGGTTGTAGAAGATGATTGAATTAGTCTTGAGTTGACAATACAGAGTCCAAATTCTGACTCGTTCGTTTGAGAGAATCAAATTTCCCAGCTTCATTTTCTGTTTAAGTAGCAGGATGAAATGGCTCAATGCTTGGGCTGTTTTGCTCAACGCCATCTTTTCTGTAGTATCGTTTTAACAGTTCTGCCCAACTTAGAGAAAGCTTTTTCCTTTTACTCGATGTACAGTTCATGTAAAGTTCGACTGCTCAGGATCATCAGAAATTGGGCCCAGTACTTCAAATGGCCAGATGATCATCTTGTTCGTGATGAAGATCATTGATTACACACCTTGAAAACCTCTCCATCGAATGCTTTGTGACTTGCATGTACTGTGTGAATTAAGTACTGTCCTTGCTTGTAGGTATGTCTTGGTTTCGATTTGCAATAATGTATCTTTCAGAATTTCTTCTCAAGGTTGTATAATAGTATTGACGAAAATGAGATTCTGCTGCAGATGTTAATGGTGCCATATCAGATTTATCTTTCGGCTTGTGTTTGCTGACTGCAATTTGATTGCAAGGTTTAAAAGCCAATAGTCGTCTTAAGTGATAGCAATGGGTCCAAAATTAATGCCGTTTGATTTGATCGTTGAAGTTGTACCAAGGCATTGTCAATCAGGCTGCATTTAATATTGGATCATTGTTGCTTATAATGTATGTCTAGAACTAGTTATTGACTGGAGCTTCAGAAGTGTGTGTGTAAAAGGTGAATTTTCTATTCGTTTAGAGTATGTCTATCCCAATGCCTATCCCATCGTCTTGCCAGTTTTTTTTTCTTTCAGAAATAACGGTGTCAGAAATAAGTAATCTTGTTTCATTTTAAATTTCTGGTTGCTGTTTGCTCAATCGTTTCGTTTCCATTCCGTCTAAAAATTGTCATTATTTTCGAATAAATATTGGATTGAAATGCCATTAATTATGAAATTTTGAGCTTTTTGTCTTTGTGCTTGATGCAAATAACGACTTAACCTTGCTGTGCATTTTGTAAAGCTTTTTCAGGTTTAAGTTGGTCGTGGATACTTTTGACCGATACCAAAAAGGAAGCTACTTTATGGTTCATTTTACAGCTTTGGGAGCTGTACAGGAGCAAGGAGCGGATCGAGGACCAAAGTTTTGGGAGTCCAGTTTGTATTTTGGTTTTTCCGGGGGGGGGTGTGAAAATGTTAAGGGTAAGGAAGGGAAGTAAAATGGATCCCAAAATGACCTTTCATTCCCCCCCCACCAAAAAGGCTCCGTTTTGGAGTAGCATGACCTCGTGCCCCCCTCCCGTCTGGATCTGCCCTTTTATGGGCAGACCGCTGATGATGGAGGAGCACAACAGACATGCATTATCAGATTTATTCAGCTGTCTTTTAAAACTGAATTCGAGTCTTCCCCTTGTTCTAATAAAGAAATGTAATTCACACATGCCCATCTGTTGTATTCCGTCCTCATTTTTTCAACTCCTTACATATACCAGGCTATGTGTTTAACAGCTGGTAAATTTCGTAATACATGTAAATATTTATTGATGATCATGTATAGAAATCACAAGGTTTATGAAATAATGCGACTTCTAACTCTACAGAATTTTACCGGTTATTTAAATATAAATGTACTTCGGGAGGATCCGGTACTGTGAGAGCTTCACATGTACATGTATATGCAGTGTGAAAGTATACAGTACAGAAGAAAACGTGTTGACGACACGTCAAAACCTGAAATAGCCAGTGTTTGATTTGTGGTGGTAGATGAACACATTTTGTGTTTTTTAATTTTATAATTTCATTTTTTTTTTCGGGAGGAGGGTCGATTATTGGTTTTAAAATGTCTGGAATAAAAATATATTAAACAGTGAACACAGAAAAAGTTAAATGAAATAATACGAAGTTTTGACTGTGTGTCTGTTCCGTGTTAGCTTTTTTCATGATTTTTGATAAGTAAAAGAATAGACACATTAGTCGCCACTTTTCGCGTAACATAGTTTCAATTCGTACGTCCCCACAGTGTGAATGGCGTTCTTTTTTTACTTATTACAATTTCACAGAAGAACAAATCGTGTGAAATGGATTTAAAAAGGGAATTTAAAAAGCATGCATGACATTCAAATATGAAATTTTCTCTTCTGTAGTACTGATTCTGGTTTTACTTAAAGTCAGAACTGTGGATGGGGGTGGGGTCACTCGGGGTGCAAGTGAACAACTTCCTAAAAAACGTTAACCACGCATGTAGTGAGGTTTACTGAAAGTCCCCCACAGAACAATTCATTTACAGGACAAAAAGGTTCATTCTACACCCCAGAATAGGACAATGCAATCAATAGTTTTCCATTACTGATTAGGAGAACATGATAAAAAGAAGCTTTTGTAAATTGTCCGTGTTTTCACAATAGTGTGGGGCAATATTTTGAAGGCGTGATTGAAACTTTAATCTTCGAGTTTCAGTGAAATTTACCCTGTCGGCCTATGTCGCCTCTTTTTATCTGTATAATATTCCCCAGATTGTTTATTTAAAGCATATTCATTGCTCTGCGTACGTACACATTACCTCAGATATGAGTTGTGAATATGACTTTCTTGTGAAAGTCAAGCTGCATCACTGTATCCTGCAGTTTTTAAAAGTCGCTTAATTGAATTATTGCTATCTATCATGTATCAAGGCCTTGAACCGTGCGCGCTCCTTCAAACCTCGGGATGTAGCTTGGCCAACAGGGCAAACACTGTTTCAGTTCAAGAAATACACAGTAGGACTGTGTCTTTTAATTTCTACCTTGAACTGAGACAGTGTTTGCCTGTGGGCGAAGCTACATCAAACGCATCGTGGTCTATTGCGTTCGATACTGCATTTACTGTGTGCCATGCACAATAGTACACCTGCACTGCACATGCATCGAGAGTTCTGGCGAAGACGTCATCCAATCAGCCTGGGAGCGCAAACAGCCAAAAGGGGATTTTTTTGGTGGGCTGGGAACTGAACTCAGGAACCTTTTATTCATTTTGGGGTCACGATTGATGGGGTAAGCATTGGATGTATTGTTATTTTGAGATAGGCCTACTTCACGTGACCTAATTTGTTTTCAATTTGTTACCCTGAAATGAAATCTTAAAACGATAAGGCGTAGTCCTATAACATTGCACCTTTGTGTACATGAAACCAACGAATTTACTCACGAATGTTCATTTCCTTAGTTTTCAATCAGACAAACGAGTCTGCACAGATTTCTACAAAACCCTACCCGTACGACTTTATTACATTTTACATAAATGTACGATATGAGTGCAGGTACATGTATATGATTTTTACACAAAGTGCACATGCATTCAAAAGTAAGACAGAGTTTAACAAACCGATAATAAAGTTGGCTCTAAATAATTTTCACTATAAATAATCATTTTTTAAAAAAAGTAAGGAGCTCCGGTTAAATGGTCGTTCTACCAATTACAAAATGTTTATATATGCGGGTGTAATAATGCGTATTTTGTTATTTCATGTACCTAGCTTTTGAATACTGTATTCACGTCGGCCCAAAACAATCATTCAAACAATTCATATTCAAAGGGCGGATCTTGGGGGGGGGAACAGGGCCATGCCCCCCCGGTATAAAAATAATGTTTTTTTGTTTTAAATCAATCAGAGTAAAGATAATCAGTATCTTACTTGGAGTTTGTTTTGTGTGGACAGAGCCATTTTTTTGTTCAGGAGATTGTGTCTGAGCAGCTGCTTAATTGTTATCGGTGCGTACGATCAGTTAATGTAAAAGCGCACTGGGGACGCGGCTTACTGTTTGCCCCCCCCCCATTTGGGTCTGGATTTGGCCTTGTACATATTGATATCATAGACTAGTCGCGCCCCACAGCCTAAACCATACTAGGCCTACTTGTGTTGATTGGCACCTGTGCTTTCATCTGTACAGATAATGGTTGTAAATTAGTGGGAGCAGTGACCTGGCATGGATACACACTACACTGTATTTTCTGAGAGAGATTCTACATTAGTTTACTTGAAGTTCGTTTCTTCGTATAAGTTCTGTAACATGGTGTTTTGGGACGTAACGATGCTGCATTCGGAAAAGATATCTGCAACCAACTAGAACCCAATTACTATTTCTAAAAGAACCGGTTACTTCGGACCATCTCACGGCCAGGGGATGGAGTTTTGAGGACCTGCATTGAGCAAATTTAGGAATAGTCTTTCTTGAGTGATGTCACTAGTTCGGGAAACGATAGCTTAAACTCTTTGCTTTCTAGCTATTGACAATTAAAATGATTTAAGACTTCCTTTAAAATTTGCACTTAATCTTCACCACATCAAAACTGTATGAAATACCCGTTACCTTAAATTTTGTGCACCCTCAAACTGCGGCTTTATACACTGCATGACAGTAGGCCTATGCTGGAGACAGTAGTTATGTAGCTATATTGCTTTGAATAGGGTGGAGGGTAAATGTGGATAGCTTAAGCTACCTTCTTTTAAAAAAATAGTTTATGGGTTTTTCTGTGTGTTACTGTTTTGGGCCTACTTTTGTATACATGCACCAAAGGTACTTAGAAATCCATATTTCAGTTGTTGCCTGGATAACATGCTGGAGATTATATGCAAAGGGTTACAGAATTTCAAAGACAAGCGAGAATATCATACAGCCTAGCAGTTGTCCTTTTTTATTCCATAGATCTGAAAATAGACAGCTTTTCTATAAATTTAGTACGGTCACAATTTATGGACACACCTGTCCGTATGTTTCGATTTACTCAGGTTGGAAAGGTTTGTCGAGGAGACTTTACCATTCAGCGATATAGCTTTTCAGTACTTTATGTCGGAAGGTGGTGAAAAAGTTGATATCGTTTGGAAATCATGGTCCTTCAACTCATGAAGACTTGATGTCGTACATGTCTCCAGGTTTTTCCAACAGCTGTGAGCATCGAAACTTGCACAATGGTCCAAGTCCGTACACCTTGAATTGGACACTAAAATACCACATGCAGCACGGATACATAGGATGTCCTGATTTTTCGTATGGGATAATTATTTCATTTAAGTATGCCTAAGTGAAGTTTAGCTGTCATTTTAGTCTTGGTCAAATGACGTACACTGCCGTGCAAAACGTAGGCTTCCACACTACCTACCGGTGCATAGGCCTACCATGCCCTACCGGTTCTGCGTACCCTTCCAGCGAGATTAAAAGTCTGCAAATAACTAATAGGCCTACTTATACCAACATATACAAACCAATTTATACGTATGTAGGCTGTCTCACGAGTAATTCGGAAGTCTTTCTCGATATGTTTTCATAACCGCTTTTGCCGGTTCGCTTAGGCGATCGGCTGACCATTTTCGTGAATCGACACAGGCAGATGATTATTGTGACGGAGAGCACAGCGCACAATCCCCCCACCACTAGTACTACCAGGAGGACCACGACGTAAACCTGCCTCGTGTCCCGGTCCAGATCAGAATCGTCCTTGCAGAGTTTCCTCGGACGTGGGGATGATGCTGCTGGGCGTTTGTGGTAGTCACTCTGAGAGGCGACGGTCGTGCTTGGAGACTTGTTATCTACAAGGCAAGAACAAACTGTAACATTATGATTCCTAACTGAACTACTTTAAACCGGTTCAAACTTGGCGTGAAAACCATAGTTGTGCGATGTAAAGTAAATGGAATTCTTGTCGTGTTACATGCACACGACTCATGCTTGTATGATAGAGAAGCATATACCATTTTAGAACATCTCTCAATCTATAAAAGGTAAGATATCCACATCCTGCGTGTATCGTGACGATGACCGCCGGAAAACATGACGTCGGCATCTCACTGGCGTATCCAGATATTGGATGGGGGTTGCAACACGTATTATTTCCTAAGACTAAGAATGCCAACATCTTGTTAGTAATGTTGTTATCCTGAGATAGAAGTCTGTCAGGATTTCCGTGGATCAGATGGCACCTCCAGAATTCCCTATACTGAAGCGTTAACACACCGAAATAATAATTTGTGTCGGAGTAGCAGTATAGTCAACCAGGGCAAAGCCCTGTCGGTTAGAAACTGTTCTCCCTAGAGGCCGTGAGGGAAGAAGACAGTGAGGAAGTTTAGTTTTAGAGGGGGGACCCCCTGGACTCAGGTAGAGACTGAATCCTCATGTTGGCATGGGCGGGATTCGAACCTTGGCCGCAGAGGTGGAAAGCAGGGAAAGTATCGCTGTACCAACCTGACTCCCCAATCGTGTCAGACTGTGACTCCTGGCTTCCCATGATCAGGGTGGGTAGCGGCCAGCACTGCATGTCGGTACCCATCCCCGACGCTATACATTCCTCCATGCGTTCCTGGTACAGCGGATGATTTTGACATGGTGAGCAAGGAAGACAGTCGTCATCCAAGGGACTGTAGAAATACCCTGCCACCAAGAAACATTGATATATGATCAAGTTCTTTAAGTTTCTGTTTCCTGTTCATTTGGTGCCAATTTTATACAATATATGTAGGAAAGACGGGCATTGGAATGTCACACTGCATTTTACTTTCGGGCAGTTGTGCATCATATACTGTTTTGGATACGATTTTATTTTAAATCTTTAATAGTCTTCTTGGTTTCCCGTTTACAGGAAATACTTCTCGCTAAGCAAAAACATCCACATGGCATTTAAGTGGTAACATCTGAGGCAAGCAGATGGGAGGTTTGAGGACCCGATCTGCCATGCTTCTGTACCGTGTGATGCGGACCCAGAACCATTTTTGTGGTGGGGCAAAATATGGAATTCGCTATTTGTAATGCAACCTGTTATGGCATTTCTCTGTCGTGTAGCCAATATTAGGGCTTTATTTCCGCTTTGGGGAGAAAGTGAAATAAACTTTCCGTTCTTTCATTTTAAAATTTGAAAACAAAATTTCTATACTAATGCATACCTGCCGAGCAGTGCCGACTACAGATGGTATCCGCCGAGGCGTTACAGGCATGGAGCACGGGCTGGTGTTGGCCACATGTTCTGCAAGGCAAGCAGGCATCCACGCTGCTGGTCGAAGCGGAGTAATACCCGGGTAGACAGGGGGAGCACTCGGTGTCGTCGGACCAAGAGCAGAGCCGACTTGCTTGGTAGCCCGGCAAACAACGGCTGCAGGGTCGGCAGTTCAGCTTTCCGTCCTCAGCCCCGCGCTGTCGGTCATCAAACATGCCATAGCGGCAGCGAAGCTGGGCACTCCCCTGGAGAAAAGCATCAAAACCGTCGAAAATGTGTATTTTGTAGAGGACGGATTATGGAGTTTTGCCCTTCCACAAGAGTTCGACCGAAAGGCACATACTTGACCTGAAAAAACGGCCTGTGCACGGACCACGCTCGGCGTATCGCTTAGTCACCTGTATATTTATCTTCGTCCAAGAATGCATTCATCGTTACAGGACGTTTATGAGTGGCAAAATGAAGAAGATTATAAAGAAATGTTATGTTTTAAATTCGAGCTGGGAGGAAAAAAAACCAGCCCACAGAATCAGGTGGGAAACTACCGAAAACTTCATCAACATGGCGGCCTGTGGGATTCGAACCTGGGCGGCATAGGTGGAATTCCAAGAAAGAGTAGATTATTTTGGAAATTTTACTGTCCACATCATAAAAGTACACAAAGTTTAGTTACAACATTTAAGAATATAAAAATACATTTAAATGAAAGAATAATTTACCCACAAAACGTACACAAGTTAAAGAAAACACGCTGAAATGAAAATTATTATAAAGTCTTAAGGTGGACGGAACGAGCCTGCAGTATAAACAGAAAAGACAAGAATTTAAAACTCAGGGGTTATAATAAATAGATGAACAGAACGGGGAACAAAGTTTAAGGATTGCCTGTATCGAGTGAGGTTGTAAGAGAGAAACATAGCTTTAAATCGGATCGAAACAGTCAAAAGTGGAAAGAGTCATTGCGACCACTGACTCTTCAGACATGCATGGTGTCATCTTTGTGGACAGTTTCAAGGGCAGCGTCCATGAGAGGTGTTGTTCTTGGGTGAGTGAGCCATCTACCCGGAACCCTTTGACATAATTTACAAGAAGACACGTACATTGTAAATGGAGGCGCTTAACCCTAACATTTAGCCTACAAGTGTACGCGTAGGGATTGCAGTGTCACCTGCAGAACGAAATTCTATGCATAAACCCCAAACCAAAGTCTTGCCATTAACTGATAAGCCAAAATTGCGTTGGGACACAAAAACTTGAGTCGCCGCTTTTGTGATCTTTGTTCCTTAGAAGGGTTGCGAAATCCCAAGTGGTTCAGACCATGGAGCTATCGTTTTTTATAGCTCCATGTTCAGACTGAATCCACTGGACTGAGGGACAGTTCACTATACAGTCAGCACTACCCTAAATAAACTTGGGGTTTTCCGTGGGACGTATGTTATGCACCTGTAAAAACTAGGATTACGACACGTTGTTTACTTCCTTGGGTTGATCAATCATGACACGGAGAGTCAAAACAGTAGAGTAGTTGGTAATCCGATTCTTTGAACATTCCATTTTCCAAAATGCGCAATGTACGGCTTCTACGAGTGCCATACCACATATTTCTGATAGGAGTTTTTATCGCGTCATACTGTTCAAATTAATGCGACGCCAATTATCAATGGATGTAATGTAACTTAGGGTGGCGACTTGACTTGACGAATTCTCAGCATTTCGACACAAGATCAGAAATGTTGAACATTGAACACAACGTGGTCTATTGGAAGCGTGCGATATTGCATGTACTGTGTGCAATCATGCAATACACATGTACACTGTTCAAGTAGGCGTTCTGCCGATGACGTCATCAAACCAGCCTGGGAGCGCGAACGGCCAAAAGGGCATATTTTTGTGGGCGGGGAAACGCAAGATCTTTTTATTCATTTTGGGGTCACGATTAATGGGGTAAACATTGAATTTATCATGTTTTTGAAATGGCTACGCATTTATTGTTATTTTGAAATACTTCACATGAACTAAATGTTTTCAATTTCTGTTAACCTTTAAGATGTTGGCATTCTTCACCTTAATGTCATATAATTTCGTGTCATCATTTCTAAATGTCGACATTTTGCCGTGAAATGTTGACATCCTTAAATAAAACATTGGGCCCCATTAAGTCGAATGGACTTTTAAGGCTCCCAACAAAACTGAAAAGGCCAACTTCACAAGACCAATTTTCCATGACTGTTGTTTCGAGTTGGCAGGTCATCTTGACTCCGGTAATGTGGAGCCTTATCCCACTTTCCCATCGTGGACATGGCATATCATCTCGGTATTGATACTTGTGGAGCAGTATAACACTCTTGTTACTTGTACATCCTGGAGGAAGGGTTCTCACTTCCCAACCAAATCCCACGATACGTTTTGAGATAATCCCTAACCTTCCTATAGTACCACCGTCACCCGATCATGGAACATTTTCCGGGTTGATCTCATCGACCCCGATTTCGCTCATGGTTTCCTGAAGCCACCAAAATATTTGCGGTCCAGACATTAGGCGTCTGTGAGCACCAAAGAATGCCGGGGTGAGTGCATCCTTTGTATGTCATCTAAATTAAGACATTGCAAAATCGTAATGACCACAAGCTAGCCGTTGTTCATCTCGGAAAGTCCCAAATTTTGTTGCGGTAGGCCCGTATGTGTCAAAATATGCGTTCCAGACGCCAGTATTTGACCTCTTCGTTAAATTAAGTAATTGCGGGAGTACGTGTGTACAAGGGAAGATCAGGACAAAGATTTTATTGGGGTGCGGAAAAATGTTGGATTGTTAGGCTAATATAACCTTCAACGGCCTTTCTGAGGGCCGACGGTCTATATTTTTGTGCTTTTTATGCGCGTTTGGAAGAAAAATGATAAAATACAAAAAAATTTTTGTTACTTTCTCTTATTGTTAAAAATTACTTTTTAATGGGACGTGGCATTGGCTTCCCCCCTCCCCCCGATTGGCCCTTGTACATGTCTGTGCGGAGTTCGTGTTAGATCACCATTTGGACTCCTGTTATAGCATATGACTTCGGTGATGCCACTGTGCAGAGTGAAGAGAACACACGCAATGCAGAGAGAACAGATGTATGTTTTCCACGTGCCCGTCGTTTTCTCATAGTCCCTTAATGCTTTCCCTTCGTTGTTGTTACAAGTTACGACGAAACTCGAAGTATGGAGACAGACAATTTCGTAAAAAGCACCACCGTTAACTGCAGAACTAAGCCTCAAATCAGGTCAACTAAAAATGAGATCTGGAGGTGTCCGAATTAAAGCTTCTTGTATGGATGCAGCTTAAACTTAACCCTGGTTTCAAAATCAAAGTAAGGAGACGCAGAGAGCATCGCCGATGAGAACCCAATGATACGCGCTGGAAACACTTTAACGTAACTAACGCAAACATCGACGCAGACAGTCGGGAAAGTTAGGCCGGGTTCAATTTTGCCGAGTGTCTGCGTTGAATCGTCGATCTCGATAGGCCTATAGAGGGATCATAATACGACGTTTTTAGCGTCGATCTGCGCACTTCCGCGTTTGAAAACGAGGCTGTATGTGTCAGCTTCAATTCTTAATACGATCAGACGATTGAAAGTAAGGAGTTAAGACACAAAATACATACAGGTATGTTAAATTCAGACTTTTCAGGCTACAAATTTTTGTTGAAGAGTCTTTCAGGATGACTCGACATGTGAAATCAAAAGAAAAAACAATGCAATTTACCGCGCACTAACATACCTGCGAATGCCGTGTATCTTGTGCAGTGGGCGTGGTTTAAACTGAAGTGGCACCACACTTACGAACCGGATACTGCATGTACTGTGTCGACTCTGCGGGCGCGCGCGATGTAGTTCAACACAGAGAGCCTCAGTTTGGAGACGGCGCTAATTTGAAATCCATCTATTCAAACACGCACGCTGGCATAACTGGCGTACAACGATATATCCCTCTCGCTTAGTACCACTCACTCTGTCCCATACTAACATAATATGCAACTTCAGTTTTCAGTAAAATAGCTGATCTTTAACAAAATACATCAAACTGGAGTATCAGTTTGGATTCAAGAGGCGGCACTGCCATTTAAAAATGACATTTCATACGAAAATTTTCCAAGTTTCTGCGGCGAATTTTGTCTTTTTTGCGACTGTCTGTGTCTTGACGTTTTGCATGCCGTTGGCGTTCGTTCTAATCGTATGGAAACCAGATCTTACAGTCTGTGTTGGTGGCTGCAACCATCACCCCTAAAACCTGTAATTTCAAGTCCCAGCCAATTGCAAGTACTTGGACACGCCCTCAATTGGAGGAATGGGTGCCTCAAATTGAACACTGAGTTCGACAGTGGGTTCTATGTAGAACTGTAGGGGGCACTTTGTTGCCTGGCAACGACTCCCTTTCAAGCGACTGCTCCTGAGCCCTGAGCGGGGTGCGAGTTAAGGAGCCAATGACTTTCGAGCTTACGCGGAAGTTGCAAAGCTTCCTCTTGCGCATGACTCTCCACGCGTGTTCAAAGCAGCTTCCTGAATTTGTCAGGCCTTGACTGAATTACAAGGTTGAGGCTAAAAATATTGCAAGGATCTTCATTTTCCATAGGCTGGTGTTATCACCAGCCACAGCCAAGTTCATGTAATTCGCCATGCAGTTTCAGATGACAGTAACATTCTCAGCACTTGCACGTATTATTGTTCAAAATAGCGTGTTGAGTTCTTGAGTGTTTAAAGTAGGAAGGGGAAAATGGATTTACACAATCTACCGTTTTGAATGCCTTAAAGGAGATGCATGCCATATCAGTAAAAACAAAGAAAACAAAAGACAAAAAACAGGGAACAGGCTCAGTAAAAATGCTTTGTTAATAGATGATAAGATAAAAAAAGTTTCGGTTCTGTGGAGAAAATACACAGTGCTTATAGTGAGATTGTACGCGTATGTAAGCTCAAGGAGTTTCCATCCGTAAAAGGCTTGAAAAATGGACAAACAGCAACTACAGGAAATGTGTCCTTTGTTCCACTAGTTACAGATTAACCCATATTAATGACAGTGGAAACTACCGAAGTGCCTGTAAATAGCAGTGTGAGTTTAACGCATAGGCTGGAGTTTCAGTAAACATCATGAGTGGAATGCTGGACCAGTGGTATAGATGCGAGCCTCCATAAAATTATGGTCCCCTTTAGAAAGGGGGGGTAGGGAAATTGGCAGCCAGTTCCTTGTCCGTCGCCCGATGAGAATTGTCTTGTCTAAGCCATTGGGTTGTAGACCATTCCGGGAATTTTTTTTTTTGGGGGGGGGGAACATGCTTCCTTTCTGACTTGTGAAACTGAACAGTTTGAATTCATTTCTCGAACGTTGCGCCACGAGTTCGGTATGGAGGTGCGTGCAATTTAACATTTAATCTGCAAATCGCCATCCTCTCTCCAACTGTACTTTAAAAACTGCAAAACATTGTGCAAGAAGTCACATTCGTCAAAACAAAAGAAACCAAGAACAGAAATCCTGGGGGAGGATGATTCAGCAAACCGATACGCAAGGCGATAATGGTTGCATTTTGAACTGCTCTACGCGCAACTCAGTGAGTAAATGTAATGTAAATGACTCTTTCAACAAACGAACGATAGCCCTTTAATTGCGTTTCATCATTATGCTTTCCACAGAGGACAAAAGTAATGTGTTCCTAGATGCCCCGTTTACCCCTTCTTTTAAAATGTAATTGTTAATTATATAATCTACTTATAGGGGTGCACTGAGTACCCAAATCACAGAGTACAACATGAACAGCTAAACACAAATTCAATAGAACCAGTGGTGCTTGAAATGGTGGCTGCCAGACTTGCCTACGTGTAAAATGAAAATAGAAATGCCAGAAGTATGTGAACTTTGTATCTTATTATCACGAAGAATAGGTTCACATTACTGTACACAGCCCACGCTTACCTGAGTTGGATGGTGCTTTGCAAATGTCGCCCGCTCCGAAAAAAGCACCACGAGCATCAAAAAACAAACTGCACCATTCTTCTTGAAGGTTGCCATACCCTATATAAAGTTGATCAATGGAAGGTCTAGTCCTCCTGTCCAAGAATAAGCTCATCAGAGTGCAGCAAACACCTTTGAGGAAAACTTACAGGAGAGTGGTGCAGTTTCTTCCCCGAGGAATGCCCTTCCATGCAGAAGCGGCTGCCGTGACTACTGGGTAATGGCAAATGTTTGCGTTGTGAAACTAGCGCTTGCGATGATGACATGCTAGACTGAACAGCAAACAAAACGTTGTCAAAGAACGGGACTTGAAAGGGACAACCCCAGTCGGCACGGTAAATACAAGCCGCTCGAATATCAAGGATAAATTGCCTGCCTTGACGTCTGTTACAGTTTGTGCAAATTTATATTCATCCTCGTCTTTTTGCAGCTGTATGACATCCGTTTTACGCTTAACATATTGTGACGAAATGGCTTTAACAAGTTTAGGTTTCAGTTAAAAGATGACATAATTTTTTATCTATGTATGGACACAGAGAATGCGCAAAACCACAGTATTGGTACCCGTGTACACTAGCAATAATCTGTGCGTAATTCCGCATGTAAATGTGCATGTTTAAGACAGCGCGGGACTGACGCAAGTTTATGTTCTGTCTAGTTTGTGCCATGCCGCGCGCGGCGTAGGCAGTCTCGCAGAAGTCTCGAGGCAGTCTAGAGACTCGGTTGGGCGAGTTAACAGTGCTGTGTGTGACGGCTCCTGTGTGCACTGCCGCTGAGAGTCTGCGAGCAATTCTGGTACTGGTTCCGCAATCTAAGCAGTAAGTATTACGTATCCGCATTAGTCGACTTATTGTGTACTGTTCTTAGTGTTGGTCAGAAATGACCGTGCACGTGGGTAGAACCATGGAGGAAGGAACCTTCCTCCATGGTAGAACAGTACTTTGTGGGTAGAGTTCTGGGCAGAGTTGTAGAGAGTTGTCCGAAGGGCACCGTCTAGGAAAGCGGTGAAAGACTGGACAGCCAGAGTGTTCTTATTTTTTTTGTAACTCTTGTATAAAATTAGTAATTTCAATTGTGTAAATATAGTGATTCTATATAAAGAAAAGTATATTAAATAAGTTTAGTTGATCTTGCCGATAATACTTTGTTTACGCACATGCTTGTGTCAGTCAACCGGGTCACCAAATCAATTACCAATCGGTGGTATATTTCTGCCAAAGTGACCCCTAACCCCTGGACCTTAGATTGCTCGTCAAACTCAAGGGCAGATAGTTTAGGTTTAGGTCAGGTGACTTTCCCCACTGTTGGAAACAGTCCGCCCAGACTGACGAGACCTAGGCTGGCTCGTGGGAATAAAACGCCACAAAAATATGGAGTCAGAAGTGGAAGTGGGATGATTGGAGTTGGTTGTTAAAAAATATTAGTCCTGTAACAATCCTTGTCCCCAGGGTGGACTTCGCTGGAGTGTTGAAAGCAACCGAAATGGCGATTTTTGATCGACACTGGTTCAACCGACACCTGAATAAGTAGTGCAGTCTACTACAAGATACAAAAGGAGAAACGTCCAGTCCTTAAATCAGGGCAGGTTCAAGTAAGACAGGCCAATGGCACTCCTCTTGCGATGTGCAGGTGGGTAAAACCACGCACTCAGTAAGGCAGTCTTCATAGAAATGAAGTACCAGGGTATTTTGGGTATGGACTTCCTTTTGCCTACAGGTGGGTATTTGGACTTCCACACTGAAGAGTGGAGAAAGAGTGCACCAGCAGCGCTGGGGAGCACTTTGTTGGAAGAGCAGTGGAAACAGAAACCATAGTGATCCCCCTGGGCATGAGGCTGTGGTGCCCGGCAAGATAGCCCGGAAAAAGCAGTGGCTGGAAGGTCCAGCTGTCGTAGAGCCTCTTGAAGGAGGTGGAGATTTGGCCAAGAAAGGTCTAGTACTGGCCAGTTCGCTGGTAGAGACCGGGAACGAGACTGTTCCTTTGCCGGTATTTAACCCAGGAAAAGGCAAACGAGTTGCCAAGAAAGGGACCGTTGTGGGAATGGTCACTGCGGTAGAGCCCGAGGCAGTCCACAGTAAAATGATCAAGCCCACAGATTCAAGGCAGGGCTTGCCAGAGTACTAGCAAGACCTGTATAATAGGAGAGTTTCTACTAAGATGCAGTACCACAGAGAAGTAGAAAAAAATTTTGGTAGACCTCCAAGATGTTTTTTCGTCTGGTAACCACAACATTGGCAGAACTGATGTCGTTAAGCATGAAACCAAGAATGGTGAAGCAAGACCAATAAAAGAGAGACCCAGCCGGCAATCTAAGGCTAATCAGCAAGAAATCCAGAGGCAGGTCGCTGACCTGGAGAAACGAGGGGGGATAGAACCCTCGGACAGTCCTCGGGCGGCCAATTCGTCCTTGTGACGAAGAAAGATGGGACGAAGCGTTCCTGTGTAGATTACAGAAAGTTAAACGCCGTCACCATTAAAGATAAAGATGTGTACCCAGTTCCACGCATCGATGAAACTTTCGATGCATTGAGAGGAGCCAAGTGGTTTGCGACGCTAGACCTCGCGTCAGGCTTTTGGCAGGTTGCACTTGATGATGAGACCAGTCAGAAATCCACGTTCGTGGTGAGAAATGGGCTGTACAGATGGAAATGCATGCCCTTTGGCCTGTGCAACGCCCTGGGGACCTTTGAAAGACTTATGGAGAAGTTCATGGCGGGGCTGCAGTGGGAAATCCTGCTGACATATTTAGATGACGTGAACAGCGTCTGAGAGTGGTACTAGAGATTTTGAGACAGGCAGGGCTTAAGCCCAAGCCAAGTAAAGGCCAACTGTTCCAGAAGTCAGGTGGCTACCTTGGACACATTGTGTCCGCAGAAAGGGTGGCCACAGACCCAGGAAAAGTGAGGGTATTGGCAGAGTGGCCAGTGCCGAAGTGTGTAAGGGGCATGAGAAGCTTGGCTTTGCGTCCTATTACCGAAAGTACGTCAAAAGTTTTGCGGAGATAGCTAGTCCTCTGCATGCCTTGACAGAAGAGGTGCGAGAGTTTGAATGGAGTGAAGCATGCCAACATGCATTTGAAGAGCTTACGAGTAAGCTCCAGGCCGCTCCAGTTATGGCGTACCCTATCCCTGAGAGGGATTTCATCCTTCACACTGATGCCAGTGGACGAAGCACCGGTGCAGTGTTATCCCAGCTTTAAGATGGGGAAGAGAAAATTGTGGCTTATGCCAGCAGAAAACTCAATAGACCTTAAAGAAACTACTTCGTCACCAGACGTGAATTACTAGCAGTGGTAATGTACGTGAAAGAGCTCTAACAATACCTCAACGGGAGGAAGATGACAATCAGAACCGACCATGCTGCTCTTCGGTGGCTTCTAAATTTCAAGAACCCCGAGGGACAGCTGGCGAGGTGGTTGGATGTCATATCAGGCTGTGACACAGAAATCCAGCACCGCCCCAGCAAGAAACATGCCAATGCAGATGGACTGTCAAGGAGACAGTGCAAACAATATGGTCGACAGGAGACCACAGAGACCGGAAGACAGAGAAGTTGAGGGCAGGAAGCCTGATGAGTACCCGACAGAGGACATGTTGGCCAGGGGCGTAGTAGCCAAGCCAACGATTTCAAAGGATGAGTTGAGAAAGGCTCAACTCGAGGACACGACCATGAGTTGGGTTGTGAGAGAGAAGGCGAGGGGCAAGGGTCGCCCCTGCTTGAGAAGATGTATCTCCCAACTCTCCTGAGTTTAAGACTTACTGGTCGAGTTGGGATCAGTTAGAAGTCAGAGAAGGGGTGCTGTACAAGAAATGGGAGTCAGATGACGGCAAATGAATCAGATGGCTATTGGTTTGCCGAAGAAGCGTAGGAAAGAAATACTAACAGAGGTACACGGTGGACAAGTGAGTGGCCACCTGGGAATGGGTCTCAGGTGGACAAGTGAGTGGCCACCTGGGAATGGGTAAGACCCTTGCCCAGATGAAGTACAGATATTTCTGGGCTGGGATGTCTGCAGATGTGAGATCATTTCTGCGGCGTTGTGAGACCTGTGCAGGAAGAAAGCCACCCGTTAAGAAGCGAAGGGCCCCATTGCAACATTACCAAGTGGATGCACCTATAGTAGGGGTAGCAATTGACTTGCTCGGGCCACTGCTGAAGACGGAGAGTGGCAACCAACAGTGCCTAGGCAAGAGTGCTCGCAGGCAGAAAAAAATTACGACTGAAAGGCAACAGAGGCAGGCCTAAAGGAGGGGCAGCTAGTATGGCTGCATAATCCTGCCAAAAAGAAGAACATGTCCCCCAAGCTCCAACTGCGTTGGGAGGGACCCTGGCAAATAATCAAGAAATTGTCAGATGTGATAGTCCGCATCAAGTTGAGACGGGTTGATAAACACTGTGTAGTACGTGTAGACAGGTTAAAGCCTGATGTAGGCGAGTAGAGCCAGGGAAGGTAATGGAAAACCCTCAAACTGAGGAGTCAGAAATCTCTCAGAGTGAGACGGTGCTTCAAGATGAAGCAAAGAGGAATTAAGAGGAGACAGGCACAGGGAGGACAGGAAAACAGCCCCTGAGGCCCAGAGTCAGACTAGCGATGTGGCCGAAAGCCCACAAAGACGCTGTCCAAAAAAGACTCATAGACTGCCCCAGCGCTACCACTAGTCAAGTAAAATGGATAATAGAGGAACCTGAGGGCCCCCCTCCAGCTAAGATCAAGAAGATGGCCGCCGTCAGCGTGTATACCCTGACCGAATTCTTCGTGGATGGGAAGCGTGTTCGCCAGACGAAGCGCTGGAAGTCCTACTTGAAGGCCATCGAAGTTGACGCAGAGCTCTGCCAGGGAACAACGGAGTCGACCTTGGACCCCCCCTGTAGTGCGGTGACAGCCAGAGCCAGGATGAGCTTTGTGACTGTTCGTTTTGTAGGTTAGCTTTTCTAAGTTTTTAAGAAAGTACTTTGTGACATGTATAACTTATTTTCGTAGTCTTTTTTCAGGTACAAACATTTGTACAAAAAAAACATTGGCAGATCCAATCGACAATTGAAACGGGCCTGAAGAGTTTCAGGGAGAGAGAAGAAAAAGTTGTACATGTATTCGTTTATTTTTGTATTTTATGAGGTAAGTTTTTCAGTTTTGAATCACATTTTTGAGGAAGGAAACCAGTTGACGTGCGCTTTTCACAATGTTTCAGGGTTTATGTGAGGTTCTGTATAAAATTGCGTATTCTGTATAAGTGACGGTAATTTGTAACACTTTTGAATTGTGCAAAGTTGGGTTTATTCTGTATAAGTCTTTTTCACAACGGTCGGACAATTTCAACTTTGTGGGAGGTTCGATCCTCTCTTTTGTTATGTTAAAATATTTAGCGTATTTTCATGAACTTGTATAATTTTTGATTATAATTCTTGTGAATATGAGGATTGAGGAGAGTTGTACTAATCGCTTATTTCGTTGATTTTTTTGTAGCTGATATAAATTGGGGGCAATTCAAGCTACACTCGGGCCTTTGTGACGAAATGGATTTAACAAGTTCAGGTTTCAGTTAAAAGATGACATAATTCTATCTTTGTATAGGGGCAGAGAATGCGCGAGATCACTGTATTGGTACCCGTGTACATTAGCATTAATCTGTGCGTAATTTTCCCATTTAAATGTACATATTTAAGGCAGCGCAAGACTGGTGCAAGTTTACGTTCTGTCTAGTTTGTGCTATTTAGCGTCAACGAGCGTCAACAAAATATTTAAGCATTTTTATGCAGATATTTTATATTTAAAATATTAGTTAGGCTCCTACATATCATATTCAATGTATCACATTAT